GTAAAAAAAAAAAAAAAAAAAAAAAAAAGCCTTGGGAAGGCCACGTCTTACCCCTTTTTCTTGGGCCCATCATGGCTGGCCTTCTGCCCAGCAGAAGGTGAAGTGTTAGACTTTTCTGAATCCTGGTGGTTTTTCTCTTGGCTTTGTATTTCTTCAGCTTCTCATTAAAAATAACCAGAAGACAAATTTACATACAAAATAGCTAAAAATGAGGACAATTTTCTATTCTTCATTCACTTTCCTACATCAGCACAGGACTAAAAAAAAGCCTATAATAATTGGCAATGATGTTCCCATACTAAAATTCCCAGTCACATAGTTATTTCTAATCAGTTGAGTGTTCCAGAGTTAAATGAGGACTAAGATCAGGACTCATCTGTGGGAGGTTTGCTGAGATAAGCTTTCTAGAAATGACTACAATGGAGGAATAATACATCATCCCTCTACAGATATCTTTAGGGCAGAGGAGCCTGGGTTCATGAGAACTGCAAATCCTTAGAGACTGAATTCAGGATGGGATTCTAGAAATGACACTGATTTCTGAGTATCTAGGCCAGATTTAATGGGAGGGTGAGTACCTATGTATACACCTCATAACTTAAATACAGTCTATAGTCTGGAAGGTGCTGAGGTTTGAGCAAAGGAAACAGCGATAGCTAACTGCTTAATCCTAACTACTGCATTCTGTCCCTTTGCAGCATCAGACCTGATGTTACCCATGTGAGAAAGCCCTTCCTTGCTAGTGCCACACCCAGAATTGGCACTGAAATCAGTTCCAAGCCTCTCAGCCCTTCCTTCCAGATTCCAACACAAGAGTATTAGTCTCCAGTGTATGAAACATCAGATACCCTATCAACAGGCCAGAAGATGCCTTTAGTACACCACACATGAGAAATATGCTCCTAAACACAAGTTTCACTCAATATTTAACCAATTAAATTATAGCTTGAATGCACAGAATAGCATTCTCGGGGTGGACTGTTATTGGCATTGGTAACAGTATAATTCTTCATTGAGTGAAACTGTCCTGTGCCTTTCAGACCATGGAACATCTCTGACACCTGACTGCTAAATGCCATTAATCCCCATCCTTGCATTTCTAAATGCTCCCCTGGCTTGGGGGAGGGGGCACAATACACAATATTGCCCCTTGATTGAGAACCACTGGATTAGAAAAAGTAACATTTAAAAGAAATTTGAAAAACATTTTGTTGAAAAATCAAGGATTGCTTTCACAATGTGAATCATTTATTTATCTATTTTGTGTTAATTCCTTAAATGTTTAGTAAAATATTGGAAATGCTTTTGGTAAAAGAACAATCTATGATGAAGAAAAATACGTACTTTAACAATCTCAGTGTATCAGATAAATGGAAAATGACTGTGTACTTTTTTTCTACTGACTTCCTCTTCCCTTGTATGAATTGCAAATTTAATTTCATGTTTTGAAATCACCTAAGGGACTCAGGAAATTCACCTGTGCTCATTTGCTGGATAATATAGGGAAGTTATTTAGCCAGCCAAAATGAAGATTAAAACAATTTTGAAATCATATAGCTGCTTTAATTACCTGGACTTCTTCTTAAGATGGACTGCCGGACAACATCAGTGCCCAGAACATTGGCTTGCTTGAAACGTTTCGCCTTTTCTTCAAAAAACCATTCACCAGTTACAATCCTTAGCTGCCTACACAGAGCAAAAGGGGAGAACATTGAAATTCAGTTATTTAGCCAAATATATAGCTCTCAAAAATTCCTAATTAAGTAAAAAATAGCCAGTTATTTATTTAGTCCATCTCAGTCTCTGGACTATGGTGGTTATTATGGCCAGTATTATTTGAATACATTCTATGTACCAGGTACTGGGTAATTGTTCTTCATATTTAATATATTTTTATCCACATAAAAACTCTGTATAAATATTATCATCCCCATTTTACAGATGAGGAAACTGAGAACAATAACGTCACATGTCTCATATCACATAGTTGGTAAGTAGGAGAGTTAGGATTCCATCCAAGCAGTCTGACCTATGGCTCAAGTTCTTAACTACTGCATTAGTGGGTAAATAATTTTCAGTGGAAACAATGGGGAACTAGTGAAGGTTTGGAATTACAAAGGGACCATAATAAGACTGTTTTAGAATGATACCTTACTGTTATATGATGACTGGGTTAGAATAAAGAGAGAATGGGACAAAGAGATTGGCCATGGAAGTAGTCCAGGAGAGAGATGACAAGACACACATTAGGGCAATGGCAAGACTAACAAACAGGAGGAGATAAATTAAAAATGTAGATGGTAAAGGGGATTGCCTGAATTTCACAATCAATTGAATGTTGAAGGTAAAAAGAAGGATCTTTGAATAATCAAAGCCATCTTTTAAGCCCCACCTGTAAAAGTTACACAAACCCTTTGCCTTAGTTACACAGGCCTATGTACCAGAACATGGCCCATACCTATCATTGGGAAAATAGTATTCAACCCCAACTATAGTCCCAACACTTCTCTGGGGGGTTGTAATGGAAAATGAGGTTGAAAGATAGAATTGAGTCATATAATGGAAATCTTTGAATGTTATGTTAGGGAGTTGACATGCCATTCTGGAGGCAATGGGGTAATTCCGGCAGTTTTACTAAAGTTCAGGTTGGATCATATAATCTCTGGAACATTATATGGAGAAGGGAGAAACCAGAAGCAGGCAGGCTAATTAGGAAGTTATTGCAATAAACGGGATAGGAAATTATGAAGATGTAAACTAGGGTATCATAGGGCAAGGGGTGAAAAGAAATATGTAAATACTTGGGTCACTGGGGATGAGAATCAGCAAGACTGCTGAAAAATCTGACATGGTGGCTGAAGAAAAACAGTTGAAAGTCAAATAGAGATTTCTAGCCCCAGAATATTATATCCATATGATTCAGTAACTGATTGGACTTAGAAAAACAACAAAGTTTAATCATAGTAGTAGCTAGATGACCTAATGAGAAGCAAAGATTATTGAACTAGTTCCAAAACTGTATAAAATATGCTTATGAAATATGCCAAATCTAAGGGATAGGGACCTTGAGGAGATACTTTTAGAATAGCACAATTACCACCTAGATTTTCAACATAAATAATGATATATAAGTCGATAGAGCACCTGAGATGTATCCAGAAATAATTTAACCCATTCAAGCATAAATAATTTAACCCATTCAAATGCTGGGTGGCCTCAAAGTAATCCCTAAGCCCTTGAAAACAGGAAGAAGAGGAATTCGGATGCTGAGATGCTGTAGAATAAGTCAGAGAGATTTCAAATGTGAAAAAGATTTGACATGTTGAAAGGACTCTGAGATATAGAGATCCACATGAAGGGCCACAGAGGGAAGGCTCTAGGAGCTAAGGATGGCTCTTAGCTAACAGCCAATGAGGAAATGGGAGCCTCATTCCTACAACCACAAAGAATCAAATTCTGCCCACCAAAATGAACTTGAAAGTGGGATTTTCCCAGAGTTTCCTGATAGGAGCTCAGCCAACCCATACCTTGATTTCAACCTTGTGAATCTTGAGTAGAGAATCAAACCGAGTCAACTCAGACTTATGAGCTATATAGTTGTGAGATAATATATTTATGTTGTTTTAAGCTGCTAAACTGTGGCAATTTATTATGGTTGCAATAGAAAACTAATACACTAATAAAACACAGAAATACACATATTTTAATATTCAGTTTGGGAAATGACTTGCATAGATTGTAAGAAGATAACTGGAAAATTCAGTAAAGCAAAAAGACAGAGGTAGGAAAACTGTGGCCTGTGGACCAAATTCACTCAACTACCTGTTTTGTATGGCATACAAGATAGGGATGTTTGTTTAAGCTTTTAAATGGTTGGGGGAAAATCAAAAGAACTTTCCATGACATGTGAAAATTATATGAATTATATTCAAAATTCATTGTTCCTAAATAGTTTTATTTGAACATAGCAATGCTCTTTTTTTCTGTATTTTCTCTGGCTGTTTTTCTGCTACAACTGCAAAGCTGAGTGTATCGCACAGGACACATGGCCACAAAGTCTAAAATATTTCCTCTCTGGCATTTTTTTTTAATTGCCAACCTCTGTAATAGCAAAAAGAATTTACACAAAAAGAAAAAAGAACAAGAGGAATAATATAGACCAGTGGTTGAAAAAACCCGTATGGTGGCATGCCAAAAATCTCTCTCTTTTTTTTTTTTGTATGTTCTTGGGATATGAAGTGAGGTGGATAGCACACTGAGAGCAATTTCACATGTGAT